TATGACAAATATAAAGATAATAAATATTTGCAAAATTACTATAGATAATCATTAATAAATAATCATTAATAAATAATTTATCTCGCTCAAATTTTACCTATACATTGCTTGAAGGCATTTCCTGAGTATCCGAGTTTACATTGACAACTAAAACCACCAGGTGTATTCGTACAAATGGCATTTTTGCCGCATCTTCCAGAAGGTCCATTTATCGCATCGCATTCGTTTATGTCTAATTGTAAGTAAAAAAAATAAAACATTGTTAAAAAATTTACTGTCATAAATGATACCTATTTACATTGAATAATGATTACAAAATATTTCGATTCATTTAAGAAATATCTGTTTGCTTACCGACACATCCAGCCGCTATGTCATTTGGATTGAAGGTCCAACCATCTTCGCATATGCAATAAGCTTCGTGACCGTCGGCCTTACAGAAGGCATGTTCACCGCAAGTTACCTCATCGCACGGTGCTGTAAAATAATAAAAATCATGACAAACTGTAGCTTTTTAATAGCATAATAATTACTCTTCTCTTTTTTATGGTTTTCCTACTAATCATTCTTACATAATATTTCTCTTTCAAAAATATAATATGTATGTATACAATAGCGTTGAAAATGTATAATTACAACGATTACCTTTGCACGGTATATGGGGCGGTGTGCCAACAAATCCAGACTCGCACTCACAATGATAGCTTCCTCTAGTGTTCGTGCAAATCGACGCAGGTCCACAGGGATTAGTAAGGCATTCGTTTAGATCCACGCATTCAGCACCGATGGCTTTGAAGCCATCTTTACAGAAACATTGTCCCTCGATGCACTCGGCATTGTTGACGCAATCGAAATTCGATTTGCAAAGAGTCGTCACGTCGGTCTAAAAACGTTACGATGAGACACTTCATTACTCCGCACTCATAATTCTTGTCACGTTCGGAAACATTGTAGTTGGAAACGAGAACCGGTTCACCGTATATACGGTTATCTTTTAGACGCGCGAATAAAAAGCGTGCATTCATAATAAATGGAACTATGAGTCAGTTTTGTGGCGTTACAAACGACGAAAATAGATTTGGAAAAGAGGTAAACTGATGTAAAACCGGTTCGCGTTTATCTTGTTTTGTGTGCACGACGCCACCTCCGGTCCATTTGCTTTCTTTCATCCGTCGCCTTCGTAGAAAGAAACCGCGGTCAAAGGAGCAGGCCACCTTTTGAAATATTTGTCCTGGGACATTGCGTGGAAGATTTTGTCCACTTATGTATGTATGAGAGGACTCGAGACAAAACGCAACGGGATTATTGAATTATTATACCTGATCGCATGCAACTGTCGGACTGGACCTAGCACTGTATCCTGGTGGACAAAGGCAGTTGTAACCAGGCTCCTCGTTTTTGCAAATCGCATTTTTTCCACAAGGATTTTCCAAAGTTGTGCATTCGTTGATGTCTAGGAAAGGAAAAGCAGAATGCCAAGATAACAGAAAAATTCCATGAAGTCAAAACATTTAAAGAAACAAATCTGCATTTTGAATATCACAAAAATTAAAGCTATTAAGAAAATATAGAATAAATTTTTGTACGAAAATAGCCAATTTTTAATTTACTTAAATAAGCGTTTAAAAAAGAAATTATTGAAAATATAAATATATTAAAGTGAGATCAGTGCATTCTAATTCCTGGCAGCATTCTTAAAACCACGAGACTCGTGATTAAGGGATTCATCAAAGGAAACATATTCTCGCAAGAGAAAATTATTGATAAGCTAACCACTGCACTCCTTAAAAGGATCGCCGGTGTAATCCGTCTTGCAGCTGCAAGCAAAGCTACCGACCGTGTCGATGCACTCAGCGTTTTCGCCACAGGGGTTGCGCTCACATTCGTTCACGTCTATTAATCAATATTAATCACAGGATGATTATTATAACATGCAGTATGACAAAGAATGTTACATGAAAGCTTAGCTATGACTGACTTTCGCAGCGGGTTAGTCCCTGACCGACGAAACCCGGGGGACAAATGCATTTGTATGAGCCCGGGACATTGATACACCTCGCGTTGGCCGCACAAGCGTCTCCACCGATGCACTCGTTCACGTCGACGCAACCGTGCGCGGGATCCATCCGGTAACCGATATGGCATCTACATTCGTAGCTACCCTCGGTGTTTACACATTCCGATTCCGCACCACAGGGCGAACTTTCCTCGCACTCGTTCATATCTGCCGGTGATGGTCAGTTAGTAGTCATTGTTAGACGTGCGACCGTGGATATTTGTTCAACCGGTTCAAACGGTTTTCAGTTGTCACGTATCACACATAGATCAACAATGCCATCAATATTGGGATCTAGTTTTCACTAATGAATTTCTTAATTGAAATAAATTCTTTGTCAACATTTTGTTAAGATGCAATTGTTATATCAATCTACATCATGATTACGAACAATGTTATGTTATTAAAGCATGATAATTAATTACACACACATATACATATAACATTTAACATATTTTAATTTTCCCGCGCTATAAGGCATTCTGCGTTTTACTTACCACTCGTAATAAGCTAATTGTAAATATTCTTAAGTCTTACCGTGGCAGCCTGTCATCGGATCACCATCCATTCCATCGGGACAAGAACATCGGAAGCTACCATGTACGTTCGTACATAGAGCGGAACGTCCGCAAGGACTTCTCAAGCATTCGTCGACATCCCTGCACTCCTCCTCAGGACTTCCGTCGTATCCGTCGGGACATTCGCACTTATGCGCGCCTGGTACATTCACGCATAGCGCACCTCTTCCGCAAGCACCCTCGTATTTGCATTCGTCAATATCGATACACTAGATAAATTTAAATTCCATAAATTTAATAAATAAATTCATGGTTACACATATTTCTAATTACGCGTTGTTTAAAATTTAATAACATTTTCTAATATGTTATATTTTCTAATATGTGTATGAATTTATATATATTTTATATTATATTGATAAAACATTTATATTTTATTCAGTAAATTCGTATTTTTTAAATATAAAATTTATAAAAATTTTAACTGAGATATACGCATGTTTTTGCTTTAAAGTAAATTATAGACAGAATAAATATCGAAATCGTCGTTTATCGTACTTCACTATCGGAATTATTTATAATATAAATATTTCAAATCGGAATTTGTCAATATATCTACATCATGATTAGCCCGCATCCTCCAGAAGCCCATCATTTTAAATAAACGATAATTATTAAGATTAATATCCTCATCGTCATATAAATATCCGAAAAAAAATACTACGATAAGGCAATTGACTCGCAGGCATGTTATTATCCACTTTAATCTCCAACTTATCCTTTTTGTTGACTACGCATCCCTGATCTCGCCGATGTACTCACACTGTTGAACGGGTCTCCCGTAAATCCGTCTTGACACGTGCAGGTGTAATTACCAGGTATGTTGTGGCACACAGTATTGTCGCCACATGCACCTGGTATCGTACATTCGTTCACATCCTCGCAATGCACCTCACCATTGCCGATGTAGCCAGATTTGCATTGACACAAGGGCATTCTCGACGCAACGCCTAGCAATCGCTGGATCGTCACATTCGTTGATATCTAAAGATATAATATCGTTAATAATGAAACGGATGCACAGCCGGGTGTTCGAAGAACAGGATAATTACCCTCGCAATGAAAGCCATCGCCTTGGTATCCGGGAAAGCAGGAACATTGAAAACTGCCAAGAGTATTTGTACAGTGGGCAAATATATCACAGGGTCGATATTTACACTCGTTCTCATCTGTAAATTTTAATTTTAATTCAGTTTTATTATATATTATTGTAAATTATTCCATATATATATATATATATATATATATATTGAAGATTTAAAAGAGTAGAAAAATATAAATATATATAGGTAATATACTTGCATCGAATTAATCCGATTAAACGATTTGCATGTAGTAGAAAATATATGTGTATATTAAATGAATATTTGATAAGAAAATTTCATTTACTAAATATAATATAATAATATAATAACATAAATATTTGCACAAACCTGGAACTTGACAGTTACATCCTCCGAATCCATCGTTGCAGTGACAGACCGAATCCAGACAGACACCATTTTGACATTTAGTGCCGTCTTCTTTTGTACAATCGTCTGCAAGATTTTTTTAGCAAAAATTCGAATAAACTAATAATATTATATTTCACTAAAAAAATATATGCATAGCTTGATAAACATTTATTGTTATGATATAAGTGTATGGATAATCTACATATATCTTTTTCAAATTAAAGTATCAATTATATTAAAATATTAATAAATACAAAGTATTTTTATCTTTCTTAATGTGCAAATAAAAAATTATTTACGTAGATATAAATAATTAATGATTTCATCCGTTAGAAACAGCGTTAAAGGATATACTGATTTAGAAATATCCTGTACGAGAGGCACGAGCCATTTTTGTTGGCCATTAAGTAAGATTATCCGAGAAAAAGGGGCGGATAAATTGCGACTATACTATACAGCCATCGGCTAATCGCGCAATTTTCTCTCGCCAGACCTAATCGTCGGTCGAACATCGAAGTTTTTCTCACAAGCCGTGAAGCCACGGTATACGTTCGGTAGATTCGAGTAACGTGATCCACTAGCTCATCGACAGCTCAGCAACGTCAATTATGGTCCCACCGGGAAGATAACATTCATGGAAAATGAGAATAAAATTCCGCGGCTAATTACAACTCGTAGGCGTGACTCGGTACAATATGAAATAATGACGCGAGAAGAGATTCCTCTTAATTGACCTGACGAGACGTGAGATGCTTAACACGTTCTTGCGGTTTATGTATATATACGATGCGAGAAGGAAAATTACTTAGAGACTGTAATGACATCGAGAATGATGGCATGACGTGAAGAAACAACGGAAATGTTGACGACAGTATATCGTGAATGTCGTGCGACATCACCCTTTCCTGTCACCGTGAGATACACAATCGCTTCACCGCAGGGTTACCCTGGGTAATCTCCGGACGAGTTATTTCGAGAGGATATGTCAGGATCTTCTTTTGTCAGGTAGCTCACCTGTGCACTTTAACTTGTTGCGCTGCTCGTCCACGCCTTGGTAGCAGTCGACGCGATGGTCACAGAGCTTTGAAAGTTCGAGCAACTGAAGGACGTCCGTCGACTCGTTCACTTGACAGCCAAAGTAGCCGTCCTCGAGGTTCAGGAAGAATACTTCTCGCTTCGATCCATGGCCGAGTCCTTTACGAGATTCGGCCTAAAAAATCACGAGATAGATTTTATTAGTTGGATGTTATCAATATATTTGAATTATCTATCAATCTTATTTATCATTTACCAATTACATTTTTGTACTTTCTGACATTTTAATTTAAGTTTAAATTAAGTTTAATTTTTTTTTTTTTATAAAAAACGTGTATCGTTGAATTTAATTAACGGTCTTCCAATTGTAAATCGAATGGGAGAGAGAAAAACAAGAATTAATTACTCTCTTTACCCGCGAAAGAATTGAAATTTTTTAAGAAATGCCTTCTTACCGGATACGAAGATAGAAGTATCCACGTCAGCAACGGCCAAAGACGTTTCATCTTTGCTGTAAAAAGATTAAATCGTACCAAAATTAGTCATATTCTATAGATATTGTCCACGCAATATGTGTATAGACGCGTGATTTTAATTTATTATTAATGCACGATTTTTAGTGGTGACTGGATGCGCATAACAATGTTTATCATTCTTCCGCGAAGAACGTGTTGCGGAAGAAATTTAAATATAGATTCCTAAACATGCGCGTAACACAACGACGACGATGACTTCATACGGGAATCACCAGTGGTAATTGCATCATCGCGAATTCACAAGTGGTTTCGCAAAAACGGTACCACTTTGCTGCACCCTAGGAACAATTTTTCATGATCGCGCCAACCGGAGGCGAGAGGAAAAGAGAGCGTTAGAGAGAGAGAGAGAGAGAGAGAGAGAGAGAGAGGGGCACTCGAATGTTCCTCACGATGTTCACGGCGTATAAATCACGTGGAAAGCACCATGGTTGCAGGAAATCGTCGGAAAATCAAGCGTGAATATAAAACCGCAAGAAACTATCGACCATTTTTCAGTCACAACGGATAAACCTACACCGGTCGAACACCTGTTCGACGAACAAGCCTCCACTCCGTGCCAGCCGCTCCAATGTGTGGCTAATTCACGAATGTGCGACCAGGGAAGTCGGTTGATCTATCAACCCCAACATGTAGGCCACGTAATGCATAGAAGCATTGACTTTGTCCTTCAACGTACTAGATATCTTAAGTAGGAGACGGTTCAACACGACAGATATAAGTAAAACATTTGCAAATCACTGCAGAATAACTGTAATGACATGGCATCAATAAAGTTATCGATGACAAATGTAAAATAAATTTTTTCATCAATGATAAGCTATTAATGTTTTACAAGTCATTATACAAGTCATTATTTGTGATTATTTTTTTCAATATTACGCATCATTAAGTCTGAGATCAGATTTCTGTTATAGCGAAGCTTACATCGGCACTAAATCGGCCTCAAGTGCGTTTCGTCGATCCACAGAATTCGTGACGCGTTCGACTCGACATAGTGAGAAAATACATGCTTGATAGCGACCGGACTTGTCCAACGGAATTCGTTTCAAAGACGCGGAAATCTAAATCGTTGAGTTGCTCGCGATGAAGCCGCGGTAACAATTTCCTGTTTATCGCCCTTCTCCTTCGCAATTCCGCCGGCAGACGTCCAACTGTAAACGCAATTTTCGCGAGATAGCATCCCCGTACGCAAAAGCGTTTCTTCATTCTGGGCCCGCAGGCTTCTTTCTTATTCTTTCTCGTCTCGAGATTCGAGTCTCGAGACGCAGCGAATCGCACAATAAGTTAGAGCCGCGGCGATCAACCTGGCGCGGTGAAATGTTAACGACTGCACACGCGGCCAAGCTCATAAGGAGGACCGGAGGGTGGAAGGGAGAAGGGAAGGAAGGACGTGCGTTCGCCAAGTCGGATGAAGAGGAAGAAGAGAAGCGGAAAGTGCGAAGGGGAACGAGGGAACTAGGGAGGATGGGAGAGGAGGGAAGAAGCGAAGGAACGCGTAATAAAGGAGGGCGTGCGAGTGCGATGCACCTGTAGCCCTCCTTTCCTCCCAACCATCTTGCATCGCATCGTCTCCGAGTCGCCCCTCCGCGCCACCGCCTTCGGCCGTACCCCCAACTCGTCGAGATATGTATATAAACTCGCAGCTGCGCGCGGGTTGCGGGTTGCGGGTTGCGGCCCGACCAGCCCACGAGAGTTCCCTTATTTTAATTTTGTCACGGAAGCCGGCCACCCCATCGCGCAGGCATATTTTTAGATCCGGTTTTACTTCCGCAGTATATATCAAGTATGATCAAGGTCTCACAAATCTAGGACTTGGATGTATACGTTAACTGTTTAATTTTTTATGAAAAATAAAATTCTCAGAAACTTAAAAAAAGTTGATATAATAATTAGACGTCGGTTCTCTCTCTCATTAAAATGTAATAATCATTTATACGTAAAACAAATCGTGTTTATCTTTTTTTTTTAATTTTATAAAAAATGTTTATAATAAACAATGTATAATTCAATGTAATGTAGTGTTTGAATATGTTTCAATTTTTACACAGATTTTGTAACTTCAATAGTATTCCGAGAACGTTACGAAAGCAAAGTGATTATATAACGATTCGCACCTCAGACATACGCATCAAAAAACGCATCAAAAAACGTGTTTATTTGTGGTCAATCTCTAACAAGTTAATTATTTACTATGATTAACATTTATTTATTTTATAAAATCAATTGATAATTTTATTAGTTAATATGTCCTTGTGTAACAAGGACAAACCAAAACCAAATCAAACAAGATAATAACATTTAAAAATATTTTTGCATAATGACTCAATAATAAATTGCTTCTTCATGAGAAGGTAATTAAACTATTGTAGGTACAAATTTATTTTATTTGTAATTTAAAGCGTAGACAAAATCTGATAGAAACGCGAAGCTGCATCGCGATCGTTCTTGGGCTCTGACATCGATTTTTCAGCCGCGAGCGATTGACATAGTTACATCAGTTTTTGTCGGTGCCTCTTTAGCATATCTGCGTGTCGCAATCTTGCAAACTAGTCGGTAGCTCTCGGTCATAATTCAGCCACGCGATTGTATACTTCAATTTTGCATCTGTATATTTACATGAGTAATATAACAATGTGTGTTTATGTGAAACACCTACGCGCGATATTATGATACAAATGTTGGCAGTAGCGACTGTGTCATCGGTTAAAACAAAACAAATTAACACGCACAACTTCTAGTTTAAGAAGCTATTTTCTGATGTCAAAATACATTAATTTTTCAAATGTAATCTATATTATTTTTTAAATATTATTTTATATTTTATTATGTAATCAATATTTTTTTTATTATTCAATATTGTATTTGTATTTTTAATTAATAGTACATCTTAGTTAGTTAAATAATATATTTAAATGTCAAACAGTGACGGGCTTCTAAATCAGGCAAACTGCAATATATATATATATATATATATATATAAAACTGTCATATAGGATATATATATATATATCCTATATGAAAGTTTTATTTCAATGACATCACTCGCTGCATTAAATAATCACGAATCGACTTAATTATCAGCTCCACCCAAATAGATATTCCAGGTTAATAACGACTCCGGTTCGCGAGTCATCGGCTTCATGGATTTCTTCTTTATTATACTACCTCGCCCACAAGGCTCTCAGTTTATGGAAGCTTGCAGGTCAGATACAGCATGTTTGTCGGCCCCGTGAAAGTGTCTATAAGTGACTAGAGAACATCTTGGGCCTGTAAAGATTATTCTTTTGCGTGTGTTCGGGGCCAGAGGTACATCCCACGTACGCGAAAAAGAAAGAGACTTCAAAGTCTTATAGCTGACACATTGAAAATATTCCAATGCGTCAAACGTTCATAGAAATAGTAAAATTATTCATTAACAGCTGTTTAGCACATGCTTGTAAATGCTTAAAATTGCTTAAAAATTGCTCGGCGTTATTCACAAAAATTATTAACCCAATATATACAGACGGCATCAAAATTCACGCACTTTCTCTTGATGGTCCCCAACGACAAAACGACAAAACCAAATTAAGAGGACTAAGAAGAGTGTCTCTTATTTGCATGCCAAAGTATTCATAACTTTTATATTATAAACGACGAACACACACACATTATAGAGATTGAGAAATATTGCTCGATATAAGACAAATAAGTATACAATATCTTATTATATTGCCTATTTTAAGCATAAAATCATTGAAAAATTACATTTTATAGAAATTGGTCTTTTCACATCATAGAGTAACAAGTTGCACAGACAGCGTTTCATTTTATTTCATAGATTAAATTAGTTTGCATGATGCCTCGAACTAATCGCGATGCCAATCCTTTAACGACAGACATTTACAGCTTCGTAATGTCACCAGCGAACGAATTTGCATATTTAGCACCCACTGTCGACCATTTAATTGCATAACCGTCGTGCTAAGTCTTCCTACGTGCAGTGCTGATTTCACGCACGAGTCTCTTTACACGCTTGCGTAATTCCTCAGTAAAGTAATGCAAACTAAGTTCCTTTTGTTTGAATGCGTTCTCTTTATTACGCGCCGATATATGAAGTTAATCCTTATTTCTGAAAACATCAAAGAAATGAATTTACACACCTTAAAAAATAACGGAAATATGCTATTAAGTTCTGATACTTATCGCAATAGAGTAATTGATTTAATGAATACGAATGATTTAATTACAAGGAAACTGACAATGGAAGGTAACGAAATAAAGGAACGATGCAGCATTCCCGCAGCGTTCTAATTATCTAGCATCTTCCTTTCGTTTCGCAAATCCATATGTGTGTCAAGATGCATCACGTGCACGCATATATGAATATTTATTTATATATATATATGTGTGTGTGTGTGTGTATGCAATTATAAAGAGGCACAATTAAAAATATGCAAAGATGCTTTCTCCTCGTCATATTTGCCGAAATCTGCGTTTGCGTTCATATACGCAATACAAAAGTACAACTTATACTTATCGCGAGAGTACATACCTATAATCGAGTTTGTCTAGAAAATTGACATATAAAACTTTCCAGATCTATAATTTCAGGTAATGATTTCCATAGAAGATAGGAGAAAGAAAAAAAATCTTCTGCGAGAAGCGAAGCAACGACGTACAGAATTTCATAAAGCAAACGACGAAATGGTTTGGAAAATCATCTTCTGTTCTGCCGCCGTAAACTAATTATTTTCATTTTGTAGCGATCCTTGAGCGCACGGAAGAAATTTAATATCCGTGTAGACTATGATTTCTTCGACCATGTTGCGGACCAACGCAGACAATCGCCAATTGTGTTAAATGATAGACGATGCCTATGGGACGAGCATTAAAATACAATTTTATCACGCATCATCGCCAGAATCGCCGATAAAATGATCGGCGTAACGTAATGAGTCGGATACAGGCGGCGTTTAAACTTTGACATAAAGGA